TTGTGGCACTTTTTAAGGTCATGTCTGTAAGACAGGTCCAATAAATAACGGAGGTTTAATTTGACAATTATAGAATGTACCCCATTTTCACCATGTTAAAACCGTACCAACAGAGATCTGGTATATTGATATTGGAGATTGGAGATGAAAGAGCTGCAAGAAATAGACTTTCTTTGCTAAAGGGTACTTAGGAAAGCCCCGAGTAAATAGGGGATACAAAAAAGTTATCATTAAAGGAATGCTAAGGCTTCAGTGCCTGTAGTTACAGGAAATGCCATACTCATTCCAACTCTTAGCTAGATGAACGTAAATATAATTAAAGATCTATGTGCTTCAGTTCCTATTACTCAATACAATATGTCAGTTTTCAACAAAAATGTTTAAAGACATGTCAAAAGCAAGAGAAAACATGGTCTTAAGAGACAAAGCAATTATTAGAACCATACTCAGGTATGATACAGTTGTTGGATTAATCAGAGAAATAATTTAAAATACCTGTGTTTAAAATTTTAAAGGCCCTAATGAATACAACAAACTTCCAAAACTCAGCAATTAAAAAAAAAACAATTAACTTAAAAATTGACAAACATGTGAAGATTCACCAATATATATATATAGCAAATAAAAATCATATGAAAAAATCATATGAAAAGATACTCAGCATCATATCACATACAGAAATGCAAATTTTTAAAAAATGAGATATCACCACATACTTACTAGAATGTTTTTTTTTTTTTTTTTAAATCAGTGGTACCAATTGCTATTGAGATATGGACAGTAGGAACACTTGTTCATTGATGGTAGAAATGCAAATGGCACAGTAATTTTGGGACATGGTTTGACAGTTTCGTGCAAAGTTAAGCATGTTTTTCTGTACTATCCAGCAACTATATTCATAGGTCTCTGCTCATCTTATTTCCAAAGTTATGTCTGCACAAAACCTTCCTGTGAATATTTATAGCAACTATTCCCCTAATCACCATAAATCTTAAGCAATGATATCTTTCAGTAGGTAAATGGATAAACAACTTTTGGTGCCTCCATACAGTAGGATACCATTCATTGATAAGAAAGAATAAGCTATCAAGCTACACAAAGAAGGATAAATCTTAATTGCATATTGCCATTGTGAAAGAAGACAGTTTGAACAGTTTATGTACTATAAGAGTCCATTTATATGACATTCAAAAAAGAAAAGGCAACACTTTAGACAGTGAACATATCACGGTTTGCCAGAGATTTGGGGAGGGTTTTGCATCTGTGGAGCACGGGGGATTGTTAATGTGATGAAACTATTATCTATGATACAGTAATGATAAAACATGACACAAGACTTTTATTGAAATCTATAGACTTTCCCATCAAAAAGAATGATTGATGTACACAGATTTAAAAAATCATTTAAGAGGACAGGGGACATAGAGCAAAATGCAAAATGTGATAAATATATTTAATTGAATTAAATATGTATGAGAAACCTTACTAAGGGGAGTGGTTGGAAAAGGTGCTAACCTAAGTAATTTTGTAAGTGAATGAAATCTATAAGACTAAAGCCAAAAGGAACTGTGCAGAAACACTGTGTTCTAGTTGATTATGCTGTTTCCACTGGAATATGGGTTAATAATTCTGAAATCACTATATACACACACATACATACACACACACACACACACACACACACACACATATATTAACATATATGCTATAATTGACCAATTAAGCAAAGGGATGTAGGGTGGTATGCAGGGAGCCAAGTTTCTTACCATTCGAGTGAAAAATTGCAAATAAGCAAGAAATGGAGGCTAACATGCTCCTCTTGTTATGAATTGCAGTTGGAGACTTCACAATAAACTCATGTTATGTTATGAATTCACTTGGTTACGTGTAAAAATATTTATACATATATGTATATAAATGGGTTAGTGTTTATACATATATTCTCTTGCTTTGTCAGCTGAGAGGGGCTAAAACTAATGACCCCTCGCCGCCATCTACCTGGAGCATGGATCTTCTTTGCTAATATCATCATTCCATAAAGGAACAAAACCCCAATGGAAAAAAAAAATGACGGATTCTAGATCTGGGGCAGGAAATATACAAACAAGCCTGGAGTATCACATAGTGCCAAAGGGGAAGAAGTAATCAAAACTACCAACAATGATGGGGTTTTGTCAAAGGAAAGCAAGAGCCAACTGAAAGAGCTCCTAATGTCTAAAGCTAGAACAATTTGAGCAATAAAATAAATTAGGTACTTTTGGTTTCTAGTCTAGTAGAATACGAAATATTTTAAAATATATACAATAAAATATGAAAGCATAAAATGTATATACATGGACTATATTCATGTTTAAAAGTAAATATTTCTGAGTACATACTAATTGAAAACATAAATATATAGGGGAAAAGAGAAAGATCTCCCACAAAAAAATAATTTCAATTTATGTAGATGCTCCTTCCCTGAGGAGGTGAAGTACAATTCCCTACTCCTTAAATTTGGTCTGTGCATAATGAATTCCTTCAAAAGAATATAGTATGGATGGGGAGGAGGGTAATTTATAGGAGAGAAAGCTGACAAATACTGTCTCAACCAGGTGATCAAGGTCAATGTTAACAGTAATAAGTCATGTTGATAGAATGTACCATGGACATGATATGAAAAGAATGCACAGTACCATTATGGTCTTCCTCCCCTAGATCCATGACTACTGTCTAATCATCAGAAAAACTTCAGACAAATTTTAATTTAGAGACTTTCTACAAAATACCTGACCTCAAAATTGTCAAAATAATCAAAACCCAGGAATGTCTGAGAAACTGTCACAGCCAAGAGGAAAGTAACGAGACTTGATGACTAAATTTAATGTTGGATACTGGATGAGGTCCTTGAAGACAAAAGAGTCATTAGGTAAAACTTAAAAATATGAAAAAATATGAACTTTCTTTAATATAACAATAAATATATCAATGTTGATTTATGAATTTTGACAAATATCCTATATTAATGCAAAATATTAATTCTAGGAGAAATGATATCAGGCATATGAGAACTCTCTAATATCTTCTCAATTTTTCTGTAAATAAAACTATTGTAAAATAAAACAGTTTTTAAAAAGACAGAGACATGAAGAGAGTTTATACAAATAAAAGAAGTTTCCTGGGAAAACATTTCAAGAAGAAGGAGGTAAACAACTGTGTCAAATCCTGAACAAAGATCACGATGCTGTGAGAGAAATTATTGATAAAGTTGACACCAAGTGCTAAAACTGTTACTACTGTGAAACTCCTCTGTAGGGTTGCTGAGTAGGTCTGTTTTCCTGGTGGGCAAACCACCAAGTGAAAGATGCTTAAATAAATTAATAACAAGTTCCTATTGCTTCACTTCTATATGCTGCTTTTAACCATTTGCAACACATTGCATTATTGATTTCTTGGCATGCAGGTAGAATCCATTTTTGTGAATTTGTATGGGTGTCTAACAGCAGAGCCAGTTTCACCACTTGGGAAAAGCAGAAAGGCAGCATAGGCGTGTGCTTTCCAGCTGGCAAAATCTGGAGGAACAGAGGAAGGTACCTGCTGGCAATGGACATGGGAAAACCCTGCCAATTCTTTGGTTGCACGGTTGAAAACTCCATGTGCTTCCCGTCACACAGCAATATTTTCACACCTCTTGTGCCATTAATTAAGCTCTTTTTATCCTCCTGAATACAGAGAGGGGACCCACATCACTGAATATTGAGATCCATTTTGTAACGGGGACAAGCATAGGATGTATTTACTATTGGATGGTTTTTCCATTGTCATTTTTGCGCAGTCGAGCTGAATTAGATGTGAAATACCACATATATTCGCTATAGCAATTGATCTTGTCAGAAAGCTAAACCTTTTGGGAATAATCATTCAGACCATCTGTCTAAGACTGGGTCATAAATTGCATACTTTTACTTCCATAGAATTTTATTCTGTAGCATTAGTATGAGTTGAATCGTTATTAACAGACTGTGACCTGAATAAATGAGTTCTACAAGATGTCAACAACACAGGGGAATTTCAAAATGATAGCATGAATAGGTACACATATAACAACTTAAATTATGTCCAGTATGGACATTGTAGTCATCGTTGAAGTTGGTTGCCCAGTCAAAGATATTACCAATAACAAGGGTGATGGTGATTCACTTTTATTATTTTATAACTCTTTGAAATGAGTAATTTCTGTTTTATTTTGTTTTTATTTTGAAATTACTATTGATTGAAAGATGTAAGAAAATGTACAGAGAGCTCTCAAATACACTTCACCGTGTGGAAACACCTTGCTATGGCATCGTATAATCGCTAAACCAGCAAGTTAATATTAGTACAATCCAAGAAGTTTATTCATATGTTAACAGTTTTACCTCCACTTGCATGTCTGTATATATTTCTATATAATTTTATTGTATGTGTTGATTCATGTAACTAACATCACAATCCAAAGACACAGTTGTTCCATCATTATCAACCTGCCTTGTGCTACTCTTGTGCTTAATGACTAAATCTAATGTTATATTCTGGATAAAATCCTGGAACAGAAAAAGGGTATTGGATAAAAATGTTAAAGATTTTGAAAAAGTGTGAACTTGATTTAATGATAATGTTAATTTAATAATTAATGTTGATTCATTTATTATGGCAGCTATACTATAATACTACAAATGATGACTTATAAGAGAAACTTGGAGGGAGGCATTATTTTTAAGATGATTAACATATAAATATGTAATAAGTTATTCCCTTGGTATCTATAAGAAAATGTGACATAAGAATTTTATAGGCATACCCACTCCTCCCACTATCTAGAACCCCTGGCCATCACTAATCTGTTCTTCTTCTCTATAATTCTGTTACTTCGAGAATGTTCTACAAATGGAATCCTGCATTGTGTAACCTCTTCAGGTTGGCTTTTTTTCCCTCAGCATAATTCCCTTGAAAGCATTTTTAATTAAAAATATAGTAAAAATCTCAACTGATTATTAAAATCCCTTAAGTCACTTTAAAATTACAAATTTCTTAGCCCATACAGCAAAGACTTTGGAGATAAAAAATGTACCTTGAGCCTCTGTTGGCTAAAAAATGTTCAGAAGACTAGACGCTTAAGGTAAGGTAGGAATCTTGAAGTCTCCTCTAAAGTCTCCTCTTCTTCCTAGATATTTGTGTTAGGGAGCAAGGTGTCAGAACTAGGCCTTGAAAGACATAGGCAGCTGGTGATCAGGGCAAACAGCTTACTGTTGCTGGTCAAAACAGCAGGTGATGGCCATAATGCCACAATAGGATGATAGGAGTTGAACAGAATCACATCCTCTTCTCTTGACCTCACTGTACCCCATCTCATCAGGTTTTTCTCCCCTCTTCTCTCTTCCTCCTCTATTTTTACATGGATAGTTAGAGAAAGGCCAGGGGTAGCATATTTCAAGCTTACCTGTGTTATATGGAAAGGGTAGATGACAGATTTATTCACTGATTTCAAATCTATGGTAGAAGCCTGGTCTACCTGATAGCAATTCATTTTTATTATTCCAAAAATCAAAAGGAATGTGGGACAAGGGAGGAAGGCATCATTTTAAAAATGATTAGCACATATAATACATAATAAGTTATTCTCTTGGTATGTACCAGGAGAATGAGAATGAGATATATATATGTATATATATATTTTTAATTCAAGTGAGACTATCACTCTATAAGAAGAAGCAGACAAAGGAAGCAAAGTCTAAATATTTTTTTTTAAGTATAAAATATTTGCCACTTACCTAGAGGCACTCTATATGTATATTCTATAAAGGCAGGAACAAAATCAGTTTTATATCACCAATGCATTCCAGAGACTAGTATGGTGCCAGACCTATGGTGTACCAGGGCTGTCCAGAAAGTATTCAGCCATGTAGCTGTTCTAGTTATATTAACAATGGCTGGATACTTTCTGGACAGCCTCGTATATTGATATTTATCAAATAAATAACATTATAAGTTAGTAATTATCCCTGTTTTATGACAGAACAAAATAGAATTGATTAGAATTTGTTTATCTGAGTGCCTATCTCAGTCACCATCCATACTTAACTTGAAATTCATGAAGAACAATCAGAATACAGTCATTTCTTGGTATCCCCTGGGGATTGATTCCAGCATCCTGCCTCTATATTGTGGATACCAAATGCTCAAGTCCCTTATATAAAATGATGTGTTATTTGCATATAGTTTACATAAACCCTCCTACATACTTGAAATCATCTCTAGATTACTTATAATGCCTAATACATTGTAAATGCTATGTAAATAGTTGGTATACTATATTGTTTTTAAATTTGCATTATTTTTATTGTGTTGTTATTTTTATTTTTTTTTTTTCAATATTGTGATCTTAGTTTGGGCGAATCTGTGAATATAGAACCCAAGAATATGAAGAGATGACTACATTTGGAATTCCTCTTGGGTTATAGTTATTACAAGTGACACCAAATACAAGACATGCACTACTTAGAATAGCAATAGAACAAGATTTTAGGAACACTGCTCTGAGCATGCTTTACTATGAGACTATGCGACACTTAATGTCAGGAAATACTTCATTATCTTCTTCCTCATTGACTGGAACATCGCAAGTTGTAAATAAAACTATGCTTTTCTTATTTGAATTGTTCTAATCAAAACAGTCATCAGAACCTTGCAGGAATGACTTTTAACTTCAAATCAAATTAAATTGGTTGTTTGTAGAGAAGGTACTATTCTTGCTATCATTGCATCATTTTCTTAACCTTTTTTAAGGGATCATGATCAAAAGAGATGATTTCATTGGTCCCCGTTCCTCCCTCATATTTCAATTTTACCTTGGGGGATTACCTTAAAGCTCTTTCTAGAGGACCACATTTTTTCCAAAAGTTTAAAAATCACTAATCCCTGTGTTAAGAACTCAAAACTAAAATTGATTTGTACGGACACCAATTAATTAATCCCTCTCCCCCTTCCACAGGATCACAAATTTGATAAGCAATGAGAATCTGGACTTGAATTCTTGAGGTACATAAACAGGCATTCAAATTCCATCTCATATTTTTGATACATAAGAGAGAGAAAAAAAATCTCATACTGGGTGGAGTTTTCAACTTCTTATTTTTTTGTTGTTATCCACTGAAGACTTGCAACTATGCTAATTCCTTGAGTAAGGGTCAAAATTCATTAACAGATTGAAATGTATTTTTAAAATTATTCAATGAGTTTATAGGTTGGCATAAGACCATATGTATATCATGTCAAAAGGATGGTCCTTATTGATATGGAGAGGAAAATTAATACACACAAGGAACATTTTAGCAGTGGGTATGCTGCAGAGACTTGCACTGAGCAAATTTCCCACACATACAGTATCTTAAGTTAGACCCTAGAAACCGCCTGGTAAACATGATCACAATTGCCATTGCTCTTTATGAGAATATGAGTGCATAATTTTATGAGGCTGCTTCCTTGCATCATTAATTTTAACGGGGTTTTGCATAGAGAAATACTTTTTAGTTATTGTATAATGCATAGCAAGGCCTATGATTCCCAAATAATACAGCTAATATTATGCCTCATATAGGAATTAGTAAAGATTTCTGCCTTATGATTTTAGTTAGGTACCTTACATCAAAACCATCTCACCACCACCACTAAGCCACTAAGGGCTTTACTTCAACCTCAACAGAGTTTTCAAAATACAATACACATGTACTGTTTTGTTTTGTTTTTTTTTTTTTTCCTTAAAGAAAATGCTTTTTAGAGTCAGGGCGTAATGAAAAGGATTCATTATTAGGAGATTACAAGTGAATTCTGTGTGATTAGTCATTTCGTGGTTAAGGGAAAATTCATTCAGTTAGCATTGAAAGAGATTATTGATCTAAATCCTTCAAAAAGGCAAGAAAAGTTCACAACATATCTTTAGTACATATAACTTAATGGGGAATGAGTTTGCCAAAGTGACATGAGAAAGAGGGTCCCAGAATTAATCACTTAAGGTTCTCAAAATAAAAATTTCAGAGCTTAATCTATGCATCTATAATATATGAACTACATTACACAGTGAGGTCTGTCATGGCAATGGGTCAGTTTTATTTAGGTCTCGGTCAGATGTTAATATCCTATCATTGCAGACTGGGAGCTTATATTTAATTTGATGCTTCATGTTCAGAAAAGAGCACTGCATATTGGCTTTTGACCATATTTGTCAAGTTTCTAGGAGGGAAAATTGAAAGGTATTGGCTTTATTCATGAATCATTTAGTACCCAGCAAATGCCTCCTTTCCATTGCAGTTTTTCCAAATTTGAAAATAAATGGCAGCTTGGTCTTTATGGAATAGTCCTATTTTTCTACTCCTTCCATAGGAAATTCCCCTTGTTTTCCTAACTCACTTGGATAATAATACCAAGGAATTAGTCCTTCTACTTCCAATCCATTCCTGTGCTTCCAAACGTCTACTCAGGTGAGGAGGAGTATGCTAGATCAAGATGGAATAGGTAAGGAATCACATTTGTCTAGTACAACTTGTCCTAATTATTTATTCTTATCCTCCTGAATGAATATAGTTTTCTTTTATTCTTTGAAACCAAAAATCACATTCTAATTTGTATTAAAAATTACATGTAAGGAGGAAAAATAAACTCATTTAAGTGTGTGTTTTCTGTCTGCAGCCTAGACCTTGACTATGATATTAAAAATAAGATAAGTTGGCTGGACGTGATGGCTCATACCTATAATTTCTGCACTTTGGGAGGCCAAGGTGGGAGGATTGTTTGAGGCCTGGAGTTTGAGATTAGCCTGGGCAACATAGCAAGATCTAATCTCTACCAAAAAAATTAAAAATTGGCTGGGCATGGTAGCATACATCTGTGGTCCTAGCTACTTGGGAGGTTGAGGCGGGAAGATCATTTGAGCCTAAGAGGTTGAGGCTGCAGTGAGCTATGATGATCACATCACTGCACTCCAACTTGGGTAACACAGTGAAAGTCCATCTCTAATATATATAAGTGTGTGTGTGTGTGTGTATGTATGTATGTTAATGGAAGCATATATATTGCTGTAGTTATAGGTTTTATTTTATTATATTGATTTAAAATTTACTTCTTCACTTTGTATGCTCTCAAATGTTAAAACTAGAAAGTTGGAAGGTTGTGACATTTAAGAGTGATTATTTAAACATATAAAGGCAATTTTATCTTACTTGTCTTCTCTTTTCCTGTTAAAATATTTTTAATGTCTCATTATCAGCATTAGTTTAAATAAAAGTGTTTAATAAATGTTAGTCCCAAGTTGTACCAGGTACTTGGAGTCTTTTTGTGCATATTTGGCTTAATCAAAAAAAAAATCTATATAGTAGGTATTATGATTATTAACTTTTCTGAGTGGCTGATTGCTGGTAAATATGGCCACAAGTCTTCTCATTATATTTCTGCACAGCCACAGTTTTTTACTGTGCCTTTCTGTACAGATTGTGGGTTTGGTCGTGTTACTTGCTTTGGTCAATATGTCATTATCTGTGCATTTTTTTAATGCCTGAGCTACCTCAGGTTGATATTAATGAAATCTAATAGGGGTCATAGGTCTAAGGTTAATTTTTATCCATCGATATATTATATTATGAACATAAAACTATATTTTTTGAATTATTTTTGATATAGAAATATCTATTGCAGTGATGTATCTTAAAGATATGCAAAATGAATAATGACCTACATAAATGTTTCTGTACTGTTGGACACCATCATTGCTTCCAATTTATCAGTTGGTAGCAAAAATTGAAGTAGATACCCCCAAACTGGCATCTGTTTTCTAGTCACTGTACTAGGCTTTTTATTACTAATACTAACTGCTTTTTTTTGGTTTTGCTTTTTGTTTTTTTTGAGACAGAGTCTCAATCTGTTGCCCAGCCCACAGTGCCATGGTGTCAGCCTATCTCAGAGCAACCTCAGACTCCTGGGCTCAAGCAATCCTCCTGCCTCAGCCTCCCGAGTAGCTGGGACAACAGGCATGCACCACCATGCCCAGCTAATTTTTTCTATATATTTTTAGTTGTCCAGCTAATTTCTTTCTATTTTTAGTAGAGATGGTGTCTTGCTCTTGCTCAGGCTGGTCTCAAACTCCTGACCTCGAGCAATCCTCCCACCTTGGCCTCCCAGAGTGCTAGGATTACAGGCGTGAGCCACCGAGCCCAGCCTGATACTAACTTTTAACATTAGCAATAGCTCTATAAGGTAGTTTATCTAGACACTATAGATGAGGAAATTGAGGCTCATGCAGGGAAATATTTTCTTGATTCATGAAATTAATAAAGAGTAAAATCAAGATTCAAGCTCTTTGCCTTGGACTCAGAAGCTCATGCTATTAAGCACCATCTCAGACACACTTTCTAGCTGTTCTCAATTATATCAATCTTCACGTCCCTCATTGCCAAGAGAGGTTAGTATCAACGCCCTCTCAGAACACTCTGTGTCAGCAGGGTCTGATCTCAGCCCATGTCTTTTGTTAAAGGTATTTAGGCTGCTTGTAGACCTCAGTGGGGAGATTGCTTAATAATTTCCAAATGCCCTTGATGGGTAGGAAGAGCCCTGGGACTCTCTGTGCCACACAGTTTGTCATTAACTGCCTCTGAGCCTTCAATCTCTCTTCTGACAACCTGGAAATATTTAACTTAGTAAACATCTCTGAAGACATTGCTTCACACATCAAAATTGTCACATCATGCTTTTCACCTCCAGGGGTTCACCTTAATAACGTTTCACATCTAAATTCTGTTGGTTCTTGTATCAGTTTCCTAACATTTGGGTGTTCACATTATCTAAACTCAAATGCAATTTTATGCCAATCAATGTATTAAATAGATAAAAGTTAAGTGCCTGGAAACGTGAACAGTGTTGAATTGGGAGCCCTGCCTCTGGATCTTAGTGTTAACTTCTAGGAGAGCTAAGGCATTTCAGTAAAAGCTACGAGGACCTGGGAGCAGAGTGCGAACAACGCCACTGAGTAAGTCAATCTATTCCATTCCATTCTTTTGATCTCATGTATTCAATCCATGGCTAGTACAGTACCTGACACGTTAGAGGATATAAATACAGCCATTCAAACAGTCTTAAAATGAACAGGTAAGTGGTACATGCCTATGACATTTCAAAGATCTTCCGCTCTATTGAGACTGAATGTTCTCTACTCTAAGCACATTGATCAAACTCCGTCAGCCACAACATAATGACAGGCTCTCAAGTCACTTTTGTTTCCCCTGTTTAACAGGCTGATTTACTTAACAATATCAAGTGATACTCTTACAGGAACTCATAAGAGCAATGATGTAAAAAACAATTTAACATCTGAATCTGAAGTGGTGCATTGTGGAATTTCCATGTTTGTGAGTTTTTCAACTTTCCATGGGTTAATTATTTCGAATTCCATTCTATCATGGTTGGGAAAGATACCTGGTACCCTTCCAACCTTCTTAAATTTGTTAAGATTTGTTTTGTGACCTAACATGTGGTCTCTCCAGAAGAATTTTTCAGGAGAAAAATTTTACAGTTGTACTTGAAAAGAGTGCTATTCTGCAGCTGTTCTCTATTGTGGAAAGTGAGATATTAAAATCTTCTGTTATGGTATTGCTGCCTATTTTTCCCTTCAGTTCTGTTAACGTTTGCTTTATATATAAGATGTTCTAATGTCAGGTGCATATATGTAAATATTTATAATTGTTATATCTTCCTAATGAATTGACCTATTTATCATTAATTAATGACCTTCTTTGTCTCTTATGATCTTTTAAAAACTTAAACCCATTTTTTCATTATAAGTGTAACCACTCCCACCCCTACTCTCTTTTGGTTAGAATTTCTGTGAAATATACAAGGGCTGTCTGGAAAGAATCCAGCCTTTGTTAATATAACAATAGTTACATGACTGAATACTTTCCGGACATCCCAAATATGTTCCTTTACTCTCACCCTAAAATGCATCTTTAATTCTAAAGTGGACCTCCTATAGACAGTATATAATTCAACCTTGCTTTTTTAATGCATTCAGTCACTCTATGTGTTTTGCCTGGGGATTTGAATCCACTTACATTTTAATTAATTAATTGTAGGAAAGGACTCATTATTGCCATTTGTTAATTGTTTTCTGTCTTATAATAGTTTTGTCTCTCATTTCTTCTTTACCTTTTTAAATTTGTTATTCATTGATTTTTGTGATAGTGGTGTGCTTTGATTCCTTTCTCATTTTCTTATATGTATCTTCTATAATTAATTTCTTTGGGGTTACCATGAGAATTACATGGCAATCTTATACTTATAGCAGTCTATTTTAAACTTATATAACTTTTAATTGCATGTGAAAACTCTACACTGTTACTATAGTGTGAAAACACACTTTTTGCTATTGATGTCATAGTCTACATCTTTTTATATTGCTTATCTATTAACATATTTATATAGTTTAAACTTTTTTCTTTTAACATTTACACTATAATTAAAAGTGATGTATTTAGCACCATTACAATATTATAGTATTCTGTATTAGTCTACATATGTACATTTACCAGTGAGTTTTATACTTGATATGACTTTGTGTTTGCTGTTTAGCATCCCTTCATTTCATCTTAAAGATATTTCCTTAGCATTTCTTATAAGGGAGGTCTATTAGTCATGAACTTTCTCAGCATTTTTGTTTTTTAATCTGGGAAAGTCTACCTACTTACATTTTAAAGGATAGTTTTGTCAGGTATAATATTCTTTGTTGACTTTTTTTTCCTCTTTCAACACATTGAATATATCATCTCTCTCATTTGTCCTGCAAGGTTTCTGCTAAGAAATCTACTGACAGTTTTATGAATGCTCACTTCTATGTGACAAATTGCTTTTCTCTCTCTATGCTTTCAAAATTCTCCTTGTCTTTGAATTTGGAAATTTGATTATAATGTTTCTCAGAGTAGATTTATTTAGCACCTTTCTATCTAGGGTCTTTTGGGAGTCATGAATATGAATTTTCCATTTCGCTTCTCAGATTTAGGAAGTTTTCAGACATTATTTCTTTTAAAAGCCTTTCTGCCCTTTTCACTCTCCTCTTTTTTTGTAACTTTTATAACGAATATCTTGTTTCATTTGATGATTTCTCATGAGTTCTTTGGGCTTCCTTTACTCTTTTCAATTCTTTCTTTCTTTCTTTCTTTCTTTCTTTCTTTCTTTCTTTCTTTCTTTCTTGCACCTCTGGATAATTTTAAATGATCTTATTTTGACTTTACTAATTTTTTTTTCTGCTGCTAATCAAGTGTGCTTGTGAATTCCTCTAGTAAATTTTTCAGTTGAGTTATTGTATTCTTCAGCTCCAGAATTTCTGTTTGATTGCTTTATGACAGTTTCTATATCTTTCCTGATGTTATCATTTTGTTATGTATAGCATTTTTTATTTAGTTTAATTGTCAATCTGTGTTCTCTTGTTACTCACTGATCTTTTTTAAGTCTATTATTTTTAATTCTTTGCCAGTTAAATTGTAGATCTCCATTACTTTAGAATCAAGCATTGAGGATTCATTTTGTTCCTTTAATTGAGTAATGTTTCTCTGATCTTTATGTTCATTGTAGCTTTTTGTTAGTATCTGTGGATTCGAAGACACAGCTAACTCTCTCAGTCCTTACTTATTGACTTTGTCAAGAAAAGGCATTTTTATCAGTCAGGATAGATCTTTTAGGAGCCTGTCAGCTCTTTTCTATGAATAAGTATTTTCTGAACTGATAAGTATAGATTCCTAATTAGAGATATTTACTATTTCTTTTCTTTTTTTTCCCCAGAAGTCCCTGATCTCTTGCTCCTTGTTCATCTGACTATTGTATTGTGGACCAGGAGATTGGAGGCATGTTCTACTGCTCTCCTTTACCCCCTGGACAACAGCCTTAAGTTCTGTGCATTCTCCCACTCTCACTGAGTTATTCAGGCCTCAGCAAGCCACCTTTCCTTTCCTTTGTTCTTAGCTGCCCCAATGTATGTGAACTACACCAATTCTATCAGTGTCCCATATGAGAGGCAAGACAGATGCTGGCCAGGGATGGTGCACCCATGCTTCACCCTCTCGTTTCCCCCCCTGGAGAAGAAGTCATGGGCCAAGGTGATGAGCTTTCTCAGATTGGGGGAAAAGCTGATGAAGCAGGTCAAATAAAATTGTCATTCTTATTCTCTCTCAATGCTGCTTTTTTTAGTTTTATGCTCATCTAGCGTATTACAACTTTTTAACTGGAATATGTATATTTCATAAAGGTACTTGATCTGTACATCACTGTGAAATAAGTGTGTCTGTGAAAGAATGTCTGGGATTCCTTTGTTGCTATTTTGCTGATGTCACTCCTCAATTTATTGCTGATTTAAACAGGATTTCTATCTTCATAGAAGTGTAATTCTTATCCAGAGAAACAGATAATAAATAAATAGTTTTACAGTTAATTAACCATACTGTTTATTCAAGTTACTTATTATCTTTGAATCTTAATTTCCTTACCTATAAAACAAGGAAAAATAATATGCATGTCTAATAGTTGTTGGTGATTCTGCATTTAAATTGTCTGGAACAATTAATTGAGTAGCTAATATTTCCTTTTCTTAATCTCACTTTAAATGTTGTTTTTAAAGCCTCAGGTATTACTTTGCATTCTGCCTGATTTTATATAAATGTATCATAGTGTCCCATAAGTATATTTTAGGATTCGTGGCACAATTATTTTATATTCAAAACAATAAAATAAGAGGAACTAATCAAGTAACAAATTCTTATCTAAAGTGACAAAGTTCAACCGCCCTCTTAGCGCAGCTGGCATCACGTCATTCTCATAAAGTGACAAAGTTCAGTCTGTAAAATTGGCTTCAAATTCTGTGACCTTCTCACCATAATGACTCTCTTTCTTCTACTATAAGCAAATCAACTACCTTAGATTCTAAGGTTAGCAGTTGCCAGTCTATGCGTAGTTTGCCATTTTTGTGCTTTAAATCTTGGTCATTCCATTTTTCAGAAGGTTGTTAGAAATAATTCAAATTACTTATCAATCTTCTCCTCCCTATTGTCAGTGGTACTGATATATAGCTCCTCAATCAAGAGAAACTGAATCAAACATACTGTTCTAGCTAAGTAAATTTCTAATAAGAGTTATTCAAATAGTAAATTGTGGGGCCATAATAACACACTCAATATTTGGATCTCAACTAATTTAAGAAGCCCCAGGATACTAAAAGTTAAAATAAGAAAATAGTTTTAACATCAAACAAAGGCACAACATGTAATGTTTCTTCATGCTACCATTTTGCATTCTAATATCAATGTGTCTCATTTTGGTTTAATTTATTAAGTCTGTTGGTAGCTATGGTGATGTTATAGTTAGTATAGGATCAAAAAAGGCAGGGAATAGTCCATAAAGGTTCAGCTTTAAAATTCACAGGAAAGAATATATTATGCTTTAATATATGCTCAATAAATATTTGTTGGATTAAGGAATCAATAAATGACTAGGTTCACAGAACTTTATTAATTAGCTAAATCTGATTGAAGCACTATAACAAAATTAACTCATATAGTCTTCAAAATTGTCCCATATGTTCTTATGCCCACTATATAAACTATTTCAGTGACATTAAAGAGGCCTAGCTTGAACATGATTGTGTATCTCTAAAGCACACGTTTTATTAACCTTCAATTAAAATAGATTATATTCATTATATTATATTCTTGAAATGTCCAAAAGCTCACTATCTGTTCATTCATTCATTTATTCATTGATCCACATTAATCTGTTGAATAGTCGCAATGTGCCATGTTCCATTATAATTGCTGGAATACATTTGTGAGTACAAATAGACACGGCCTTTGTTCCTGTTTAAGCTCATAGTCTAATGGAGGAGACATACTTTAATCAAATAGTTACATCCATAAATATAAGTTATAATTGCCACAAATGAGTTATGCATAGTGCTCTGGGACTAGTAAGAAATTCTGACATTATGTGAGTGGTCATATTTGATTTTCCTATAAGAGGATGAATAAACTGACTTAGTGAGAAGAAGAGGGTAGGGCTTTCCAGAAAGAGGCAATATTAATACAAATGTTCTGTGGCAGAAAGAAGTATGGTTGTGAATGAAGGGCTGAAGGAATCTGCACGTAGAAAGTAGGGAAAGAGAGCCAGTGTAGATTCGTAGGCAGGATAGGCAGAGTCTTATAAGGTAATGAAGCATTTTCAACTTAATCTTTGGTGCAATGGAAATTCATTCAAGTTTTAAGCAAGAGATTGACATGACCACATTCATGCTTTACAAGAAAACAATGGCTGGTAACCTCTTTTCTCTGATATGAACCTACTTAGAAGTGGGAACTAATTAATGGTTAGGATCACTCTTCTGACTTAATTATTTTTGTTCCCCTTTTTACTCATCTGAGGAGGAATTGAGAATTATCTTCACTGATGCTTTAATCACAGGAGAACTGTTCTTACTTGATCAATGCTCAGAGTTCTTTCAATGCTATTTACTTTACAATAACAGGAAATACCCCAAGGGTCATTCTTGTGTTCTGGGTACAAATTTCATACTTCTTAACAACAAAATTTCAAGTCCAGAGTTCATTAACCAAAACTGAAAGGTTGCTTTAAAAGTATTTTAACAACCCTGAAGTTATCAATGGAATCATTAATTAAATTACCTAATAGTAAAATTTAAGAATCAATTACAAAAATAATTAAAGTAATGAGACAAGCAACATTTAGAAGATAGTATAAAGAGAGCAATTGTGTAAAATGGCAATTGTCCCTGGACAGACTTAATAATTACAAACACTTAAATGCATTATTGGTTCTAAAATGGCCCCATGTAGAGTAAGAGAAGAAAGGATATTCATTTTCCAGATAATATTATGAATTGTTTTCTATAAGTAAGCTATGTGTAATAATTTATTAGGTATATTAAAGCTAAATCATGCAAATAAAATTATTATTTTTGAAAACATATAAACACTGTTGTGTTTTTAAAACAAGTGTAGATAATTTCTTGGTCTTTGGACATATCCATAAACTGAATCTACATATTAGACTGGCTAAATAATCCCCAGAATTTCAAATCATCTTCTTCTATACCAGTAAGGATAAATATTTTTTCTACTGAACATGTGAAGTCCTGCATTGGTGCTAGCCAAGCTTAGGCTTAAATTTCAGCTCTCCACACTCAGACTTCACCTTTAAAAATGGGGATTCATTCAAACCTATGTCATTGACTTGATTTAAAAGTTAAATTGAACACAAAGTGTGTACAACATAAAGGTCATGATCATTAACTATTAATTTACTGAGCACATCCCAATACTGAATAAAAGTATTTTAAAAGTGTTAATAATATATAGGTATTTCATAAAGTATTTTTCATCCTTGAATCCATATTTTAATATAATTCAAACTGTAAAATAAATGTATTGGTGACCTGGTTTATTTCCTTTGTTTTACGAATAAAGCTCTGTGTCCCATCACATTTCCCTGTGGCCAGCCAGTGCCTTCAAGCTAATGTCTGCTAAATCCAAACCACCATTCTTCATCGTTTTCCTTCTTACTGTATGAATCTCTTCCTCCTAACTTTGTTAATGAATAAGTTATATAGTTTTATTCTCATTTTGTTTCGTTTTTTTTGTTTGTTTGTTTTTCTAGCATCTATTTCCAGAAAGAATTTGATATGGGCCAAGCTAATGTATATAAATACGAGAACAAATATAAAAGCAAACAGACATGAGAATAGAGTCCCTGATCCTCATCTGTGTCTTCAAATCCCTCCACGGATGATCCATCTACTCCAGCAGCCACAAAGACTGTAGGAATAGACAGGACATGCTGGCAGCCCTTGTCACCTCAGCTGGTCAGCTCACTTCCCTACTTTAACTTACAGCTTTATTGACCACGGCTCCCTGTCTGAATTTTCACACCTTTTCTCACTATCCCTTCCTCAAAATTGGTAAATTTGTGATCTGGCTTATCTGTGGGCCCCTTGACACTATGTGTTTCCACTTCCTGGTTGGGCATCTCCATAGTAAACTTGGGTTTACCCTACATGAGGTTGGAGTGTACATGGGGCCAATCCATCAGTTCTGAAACTGAGTCCTCAAGGACCCCTCATCAACTTAAGAAGTCAGCTATGTCTACTGCACAGAGTAATACGTCTTTTCATGCTTTTGTCTTTTAGTCAGAGTAGACACACATCTACATTGATATTTTATAAAATGAGACCTTCAAAAAGTTGAAAAATCATTTTCCATTTCTACCAACCAGCAGTGTATTCTTTTGTATTATAAGCTCCATAATTTAGAATACTCAAATAATAGGAATCTATTCCAATAACAAATTCATCCAATTATTAGGAAAGACAAAAGGGATGTACTTTTTAAATAAAGATGTGACAGGATTAGAAACCAATAGAAATCATCTGAAATTTGAGGAAAAAATATATTTTCCCTTCTTAGCAATTAGACAGCTGTATTTTGCACAAGCTAAAATTGATACCAGAAATACTGTGCTCAAGTTGCTTGAGCTAAAAATAGAATTGAATATAAGTTAGGGTGAAAACATTCTTCCTGAATGCCCATAAGACTGTGTCACCCATATCTGGCCTGTGTTTCTATATTCATGGAAGTGAGTTTTTCCCCTTATTTAAACTTCCTGCGTTAACTTTCTTTTTTTTCTTTTTTCTTTTTCTCTTCTTTCTTTCATTCTTTCTCCTTTCTTCCTTCTTTCTTTCCTGTTGCTTTCTTTTTCCTGCCTTCCATTCTTTCTTTCCTTTCTTTGCTTCTTCTTTTGTTTCATCACCTTTACATTTTTCTTTAACATGACAAAATTTCAATTAACAAAAATAAAAACAAATCAAATGATGAACATTTAAAGTAATGACAATGAGCAGGATGATATAAAAAGACTTAGACAAAGAGAGCTACATAATTTGTATCCATGACCTTCCCCCATACCTATTCCAATTTCTAAGCATCTATCTAATTTCATATTTATCAATATGTCTATGTTCTCTAAATTAAACATGTAGGGACTAAGTTAATTGAAACGATAGACTAAAATAACATTTTTTTTAATACACCGAAGTAGTCTAACTCAAATTTTTCTAACCTCATTGAAAAAACATTTTCACTTATTTTTGGAATCGATTAATGAAATAAAGCATT